AGAGGAATTTTTTTTCCGAGTTCTCAATAGAAAATTACGTAAACAGACCTTCATCATGTAATATAAATTGTGATAAGATATAAGTATGGATCCCATTGCCTCTTTAGTGGCAAGGCAGTGAATGTATGCTCGTGAATACTTTTTACATACCTGTAAATACGTTCTCCAGGGTAAGAAAATTTAGAGATAAAAAAAGAATTTCACTTGTAAATAATAATTAAGAAGAAACAAGTGGTTCGTACAGTGCATTCACATGTAGGATCGATCGGGCGAGTATCATTAGCCATAGCCTGGTGTTTAAGTTTTAAAACTCCCTACATAAGAATATAATCATTTAGCATAATCGTACGAGCAACCATACATATCGACTGTGTGTGTGTATATATGTATGTATATGTGTATATATATATATATATATATATATATATATATATATATATATATATATATATATATATATATATAAAGCATTAGAAAATTGATACCTCGGGTATAAGAGCCGTCCCAAAACGAGCAGTGCGTGTAGGATAGACACAATCATACATGTCAGCACCTAATGCACTGCAAACTACAATATCTAGTGGATAGCCCACACCCTGTGTAAATATATATATATAAAGCATTAAGAAAATTGAAACCAATATATAGGGACATAGTGAAGGTACGATAAAATAACATGAAAATAGAGTGCGCACCATAACATATCGTGGTTTGTCCTCAGGTAATGCAGCTGTGCACTGGGCAACAACGCGCCAAAATGAATCTTTATCTTCACCTCCAGCAAGACCACCAATAGCATAGCTGCTCACAAGGATAAACTAAGTTGTTTCAGCTAATTCAGAATAACATACATTTGGTATACTATTTCACATAAATAAATAAATAAATAATTGTTTATTATTGTTGATTCGTTGTCTCTTTTCGTATTGGGTTATCTTGCTTCGTGAAGAGACATAAAATAAGTGTTGATTAGGTCCAGACAAAATCATTTAAATCAACTTGCATGAATGTTTTAGAAGGCTGTTGCATGCTAAATCATAACTGTGAGGAAGAGTATATCGACGTACCCAGGCAAATTTCTGTCCACTAAACCTTTGACGCATATATCCCTGTCAGCAATTAATTGCACAGAGAATCAAGAAAATTAGACATCTAAAAGTAAACATATGTCTATGCAGATTACATAAAATAATTGAGGGCCACGTTTAAACTGACCTTAATACTGGATCCAAGCCACCTTGTACAATTCCGAATAAATTCTGCTCGTGAGGTCTCTTGTGTGCTGATGCAGACATTGGCATTGCAATAAGTGGTACTGATAAAATACTTAAATGGAAAAAGCAGTATTTCAAACTGATATAAGTCGATTTCCCCAGTTTCCTTTCATTATGGAGTACAAGTAGAAAACGAACACGGAATAATGCAAGTTATGATATAACCAATTGACAGTTAGCAATACTGGCTCAACAATTAATTTTCCGTACTCATTCAACCTTCATGTATATAGACACGATTGCAAATACAAGTAAACAGTATGCATACGCATGTTACCATACAATTTCCTTACCTGCTATGCACCTATCTATCCAACGAAGAGTACGATACATAGCCTCTTCAATCCGTGGGCCTGTGATTGTGGTTTTAACAACATCATCGAGGGCCATAATAATATCAGCTCCTATTCGATTCTGCGACAGTCGAAGGAAATTGAATGAGCGAACAAGATACCATAGAAGCAACTGAAATAATGAACGGTGTCAGCTACTTCGGCGAAATCTTGAGCCCCGTTTTTTTTT